CTACTTAAATATTTTGATTTGGATATTTTATACAAAAATAAATTCATGTTAATTAATGAAACAATATAAGTTTTACTTATTATTCACATAGATTTTTAAATATAAATAAAATTTTACCAAAATAATTATTTTACGGAATCATGTTATAGTCAAGTCGAATTTCTAAACAAAAATTTTGAAATGACACATATTTTGAAACGAATGTAATGTAATTTATTATCAGTTATGTGCAATGCACGGGTTGTGTACTAATTTTAAATAGACATTTTTATGTAATTTTACACCATTTAAATTTTATATAATATTTCAATAAATAAATTAATATAGGTAGATTATATTACATATTGATCCCATATTTTTTTATTTATAATATTATTTAATGAAAATTTTTAATTTATAAATAGTAATGAATATCTCTTACCGTGCATCGCACGGGATTCCTACTAGTTCGATTTTATAAGTTAACTATTAATTGTATATGCAATTTGGTAAATAAATAACCGTAATTATTAGGAATGTTTAATCTATTTCACATAAAATAAAAAAAAAATTGATTTATTTTTCTATAGCGTAAATTTATCTAAATAATCAAAATTATAATACGCGATTTCAAACAAACAAGTCAATAATTAATCGGGTAAACTATTATAAAAATATAAATTAATATTTTTCCATTAATTGTTGAATGTTTTGATCAGTCCAAAAAAAATTAATCAACTTTTGAAAATATATACACAAACCAAAATTGACCTTTTTTTTTTTTAAAGATAGACCAATTTCAATCAACATATAGACACAAAAATATATAAATAAAAGAATCTCCAAAATGTGTAATGGAATGATATTGGAGAGTGAAAAATATAAGATTAATAAAAAAATATTCAAAATATGTAATGAAATGATATTGGAGAATGAAAAAATATAAGATTAAAGGATTATACCAAAAAAATTACAGCCACTTCATACCAAAAATGGAATATCCCAATAAAATTTCAGACATAAAAAAATCCACCCACTTTATACCATAAATTACTTTATTAATTTTCTAATATAGTATATATAATTTTTTTTTACGAAAAATATTTACTATTTTAAATCAAACATATATATATATATAGGGACTAATTCAAATAAAAAACTAGTCCTGGTGTGAGAACCGTGGGAACTGAATTTGACGCTATTTTTAATTGTGTATGATGTTATTTTTAATATCACATGGTGCTATCATTTTCACAAATGTTAAAATAAATTGTTGCTAATTTTAATAAAATGCATCCATGTTAAAAATAGCACTAGAACATAATCAATCATAGCACTACTTATAATTAAAAATAGCAGTTCTCATGGTTCTCACACTAAGGCTTGGTTCTCATTTGAACCACATCTTATATATATATATATATATATATATATATATATATGGAGAGAGAGAGAGAGAGATCTTACAAAGTTACTATAATCTTTTGAATTTTTCATTTGCAATGGCGAACTCTACCATCAAATCACTAGTGGTTGTGTTGCTTGTCGTGTTCGTTTCTTCTGTGTTTGTACAGGTGTCGTCTCTTGTCATCGATTGATGATGGTGGTGCTAGGTATGGCATTTGATAAATTTAAGATGGTGAAAGATAGATCGAGAAATGACGAGTTTCAAGTTAACAGACGCACATCTTATATAAGATTGTCATTGTGTTGTTAGACCTATTGAGTTTTTTGCCTTTTGCCATGGTTCTGAGAATTGAACCGGCCATCGAACCGGTGAAGCTAACGGTCCAATGATTCACTCGTCGAACCAATCCAACCGGTTTAATTAATATATAATTTTTTCTATATGTATAATATATAATTATATATATTTTATCATTAATTTTATAGTGTATGACATTTTTCTAAATAATAGTTCAATATGTTGAATAAAGTTCATAATTTTATTTTATTTTATTTTTATATTCAAATTTTAATCTATATTTACGTTACAAAATAGAGAGAATAGAAACAACTCTTTTTTCATTTTTAAATCACACTTAAGTTTTTTATTATTGATTAAAGAAGTAAAAATAAAAATAATGACTAACAAATAACAATAAATTTCTTATTTCTTCTTTAATAAATTGAGGATAGATATAGCCCAATTTAAAAAATAACACATTTTTGTAATGAGTACAATTTTTCTTTTAAGGCTCAATATTAGCTCAAGTAAAAAACATATCCCATGTAAATAAAGTGTACTACTTAAATGATTCACAATCAACCCTTCACAAATTCAAAAGTTAGAACCGTTGAACTATTCAAAACGGTTTGGACCAGTTTGAACGTTTCTCATGCCTAGCATTTGATGCAGCAAACCAGACAGGAATAAAGGTCGGTTTCCGGTTTTCAGAACCATGCTTTTTTTCTAATAATAATTATACAAAACTCAAAAGAGAGTACAATCGTGTATACCGACACATCTAAATAAACTCCTTAAACAATCAAGATACAATCCATACAACTTATCTGAATCATCCTAAGCAAATACAATGAAATGACGTTAATAGGACGTGAACAATGGGTTGGGTTTTAAGAGAAAGATGAAGTTGAGAGATGAAGGCCATCAGAAGAGGAAAGAGCATGATGAATTTATAAAAGGTAACAAAGTATGGGTTTTCTAGTATTTTACTACTTACATATTTTAATTCATTTTCTATTTATAACCAAGTATAAAGTACTTCATCTTGTATTTTATATTTTCACATTCAAGTGTGCACATTACAGGTCTTTGACTTGTAAGAACACAGAAAGAGCGAGAGAGGACGAGATGGTTGCTGCTTTACCTTTGAAGAAAACAAGATAAATGCAAATTTCTGATACGGGAAAAAAATATCGTGTCCTTTGACTTGCTGGTCCACGGCTGGGGAAAATCAGATCACACCACACCTGATCATAGCAAATGTTAATTATATGTATTGATCTAATGGTGGAAAATACTAACGTGGTCAATGTGGTAGGTACAAATTTTCACAGGGAAGTGTACCTTGCAAATATTCTGATTGATATAAGTTGTAGTAACGTTGCAAATACAATAAAAACAAAAGGAAAAGGACTTTTTTTTTAAAAAAAACCAATTGAGGATTTGCACTAATGCAATTCAAAGGTACAAAAAGAATGAACGAACACACACTGAAAAACAGGGCAAAACTTAAAGTTTACATCATAGATACAGCCTATTCCTGAATATATACAGTATCTTACAGCCAAAAAAAAAAAAGAAAAATAGCTTACTTGGGGGTGTCATTGGTAATAATAATACTGCCATGCTGCAGCTATGCCAGCCACAAGCACTACCTTAGCAATAAGTTTATAGTTTGTTAAGGATTTTGGAGATGATGGTGTTTTTGGTTGTTCATATTTCTTTCCTTGAAACTTAGCAGACAATTTTGCTAGCATCAAGGTCAGTGCTCCGGTCCTCTTTCCTGCAAGGGGAAATATTGAAAAATAATTAATAACAACAATAATAATAACAATATTTTAGGATTTTCCTGATCCATTTAGTCGTTTTTGCTCATTTATGTATTTTCTTGTCGTTTTAGTATTTTGTACATTTTTTGTCCAAAAATTTTTGGTTTTGCACACAACGCCAACATTTAATGTGGAAAACATATTTTCATAAGGAATTAGAGATTATATCATAAGATACAAATTAAAGTAATTATGTTTGAAAGCAATAAAAAAAGAAAACCATTTATTCAAAATANTTGGAAAAAAAAAATTAAGCATTAAAAAAATTCATGAAAAATAGTAAATAGATACCAAAATAGAAAAAATAAGTCAATGTCCGAAAAAACTTAGTTTTTTTCTATTTTGGTCTCTATTTACTATTTTTCATAGTTTTTTTTCATGCTTAAACTTTTGTCCAAAACTTGGTACTGGTCTCGGAAAACCAAGAAGTTAAATAAATGGTCAGTAATTATATGAGGATAGAGATTATTCTAAGGCAAAAGGTGAAGAGACAGTATAAAGGCGGATATAGTTCAATGGAATATGATCTAAGCTTTGAGAAGGAGATCAAGAAAGAGCATGTGATGAAGAATGACACAATTGTACATATAAAATAGTATGATCATGGTCAAAGACATGGCGTAGGTCTAATATTGCTTTATCAGCTCAACAGCTGGGAAATAAACAACCGTAATGGTTTCACTTTCAAAGGAAATAATCTCACTTTCCTCAAACTGACTTGACTTGACTGGCTATGAGGTTTCATCTGCATGGCTTCTTAAACTGTGATTTTTCAAATTTTTACGATAGGTGGCAAAAATAAAATTGTGGAGGATTAATGATACGAGTTCAGTTGCAATTTTTTATCATGGGTTTGGTAGAGCCATTGCAGGATAATATGAAGTGGAGTCTTATCCTTAAACTTCATGTATCTAGATTTATCCACTGTCTCAGTATAAATAGATGCTCTATGTTAGTTGAAGAGATCAAGTTAGTGAAGCAAGAAAAAGAAAAAGTGTGTTGTAGCAACTCAAAATAAAAATTCTATGAATACAATCATCTTCTTTTTAGCATAGCTTCCATATTTAACAAATTTGGTATCAAGAGCTAGTGTCCTTGTAAACAAATACTTCCACAAAAACTTCTATAGCCAGTGTCATTGTAAATTTGCTTCTATTCCAACGTTATTTTTCAATATTTCCAAATCAAGTGCCAATTGGGCTAACCAAGTGCAAACATTCTTTTCTCTTTGGAACTTTGGCATATGATCGACAATGAAAAACCATCCATAGACAACAAGGCCGAACCCACCAAGGCACAAAATGAGTCGATAAATAAAGAAGCTATGAATCAAATTTATGAATATTTTTTCCCCTAGCCTACGCCTACCATAGTATTCATGCAACCCAATCACAGCAACTGAACAAGTGATTGAGATTATAAAAATTGCATGCTTCTGTTTTAATTCAAGATCTTCACTCATTAAGCGTACATATTTAAGTCAGTTAAAAGAAATGAATGCCACAAGATGTCTTGCCCTTTGCCGTAAGAAGCCTTTCTTCCTCACTGGCTCGCCTTCGAAGGGCATTAAGCAGGGATCCAAAATACAGAGCGAAAACGGTGCATGTGATAGTTATAACGTTATAAGGCATGCTAAAATCAGGTGTTGTCAATGGTACGAGCAGAACTTCTGTGTACGACAGGACCGGAGTTTGTTCCTAAGAAGATGGATGAATGATTTATACACAGTTAAATAGGGGAAAATAATAAAATAATAAATAATAATAACAAAATGAAAGATAAAATAATATCATGGAGGTATAGGGGTCACTTGTTCCCTCAGTACCTGTAGCTTGGACAATATGGGTACTTCCTTTGACAAATTATCAACAAAACTCATGTTTGATTGGAAGTCGGAAAAGTGTACTAGTGCGGATGGAATGTCAAACCCCTGATTGGCATCTGGAGGATATTCGTCTATGTGAAGAAACCCCTATTTAAAAACACCAAATCAGCTTAAAGACCTTTAAAACTTGAAACTCGTGCAAGCAGAAAAGATTTTTCCACAAATATGCTATTGGTGGTTCAAGTAGTAACTAACACTAGAGAAATGAAAGGCTACATTATAGACCTGGGAATCAGAGTTTAATAGGCTTATATAAAATGACTTAGGCACTTCAATTTGTAATGTGGATGGTTCAGCAAATATGGTAAGTTGCAAACTACGTTTCTTTGCCCCATGTTCTGTTTACTGGAAAATGAGGACTTTCCTGATTGGATTAGGGAGCTTGCAACGATGGATGCATTTGATGTTTATACGGAATAAGTGCAAGTTTCTTTCGGTCAAGGAAAAAGGGGAAAAAAAGAAACGGATCTTAAGATATAAAACTTACAAATCCTATTCGCATATCATAAAACAAAATGTTGAACCATTTCAACTAGAAATTAAAGTAGCGCTTTATAATATGGACACATAAACAAAATTCTAAAGATAGTTTATTCATCAATTTTAAGAAAAGCATTGAAATTTCGGTACTTAGCAACTAGATAGTTAGAGAAAAAATGAAAATTACTTCTTTCAGCAGACGATGGCTAATATGCATTTATTAGATAAGATACTAACCGAGAACATAAATGGAGCATACCTTGTCAAACTCCAAAGTCAATGCAGCAGTTTTAACACTACAAGGCAATCTCAACTCTATTTCCATTACTCCAGGAGAGACCTTGTCTTCAGAAGGTGAAACATGTATTTTCTCTATGTTATCCACAGTAGATTGAGGTTCTCCATCTAAGAACAATTTCAGAGTGTGATAATACACCTTCACATACCAAGGAACCACATGGAAAATGCCAACTCTCAGCCAACATTCTCTCTCTACATTGTTCCTCCCGGTGGATTTCATCGAGATGGCTATAGAACCCCTCTCATTTCCGCTCCCCAATAAAAACCTACTAGCCCATAAAGGTGCTTGCTCGCATGACCAGACAACATGCACCTTCCACTTTAATCCCAAATCAAACGGCTCAGATTCAGTGTAGTCCAATACTGAAAATTCATACAGAACAGATCCCCCTTTCTGCATATCTCCCGTTTCTTTTATAACCCTTTTGGGCGCAAGTGACAGTTCAAACAGAGGATTTTTCTGAGGGGAAACCTGTTCGGACACTAAACTCTTGTCAAACTGGACATACACATTACTAGAATCAGAAAGAGAGCATTTTCCACTAACTCTCCTGCCTAATAACGAGCCGAATGACCAGTTGGGCTGCTGTGATATTTTTCCTGAAACTGTTTTTGGTTGAAGGACAACCGTAAGGGTTTGCACGAGCACTATCCCTGTATCATATCGAACTCATCCAACCTCAAATGCAGCCTTTGTGAATGATAATACCCATTGTAAATGGAGGGCCGGTCCATAAGTGAAGAAAGCCCAGCCTTGTCCCTGCAAGGAAGTAACTTCAGCCACGGCGTGAGATTTTCAGTGCAAACGGCTTCACGAGGCAAAGTGCCGTAACGTAATTTGCCCGAGAAGGGACGGAAGCTCCACTGAGGTGAGGAGTAACTAGTCGAGTGGTCCAAGAAATTGATAGAGGCACAAAAGAGGCCTGAAAGAGCATGGGTGAGGTTCTTCCACGAACTATCGACCTCATCCTTAGAGACATCAAAATCAGCCCATAATTCGACTCCGGGAGGCTTTGTGTTGCTGCTTGAGATCGGATCAAACCCTCCCCACCTTTCGTAGTTCCAGCGGCCTTGCGTGAACGAAAGCTCCATCTCTCGAATTTGAAATTTTTTTACCTGAATATCAAAATTTGCAGCAGTCACTCAGTTGTTACATATCTTACAGAATAATTCATGAAACGAAGGAAGAACCAATTCCAAAGCAGTTGCTCAAGAACTTTGAAGACACTAGCTATGAAACCATAAGTCACTCGGTTGCTACATATCTTATATTCTTGTAAATCCAAAACACACAGCTTTTCGAATAAAACAAGTATTATCAAGATCGAATTATCAGATTTTAAGAACCATGTCAAATTGTGCCCCAAGCAGGCAGCAGCAAAATGCTACAGTTTTAAGCAAAGTCGTACGATTGATCAACTCACGGATCACCACTTCTCTGTACTGAGTTTTTCAAGCAGAAAACACGTTCACGCAGTCTAAATGTTCGCAAAACCCAAGAAATAATCAAAGCATAATCCCAAACAATATAGGCCATAACGTGAACAAATAGTTTCATAAATATGGAAAATTGAGGTGGAAAATAACAAAATTAGCCAACTGATCCTCAAAACAATCTCTCCATCGATCAGTTAAGACTGAATACATTAAGTTACTCGCCAGCTGATAAATGGATTTCGGGAAGATGTAATGGTGGCGGCCATAGGCTCGAGCCGGTGGCACGCTGCTCTGAAAATGGAAATGAGCCAACACTTTCCGATCTGGCAGCGGCCTCAACAGCAACGCCTCCGTGAAAGACTCATTCAGTTTTTCTACTTTCTCCTCTTCCGCTATCGATTCAAAAGCCGAAAACAGTACTAAGAACAACAAAATACTGAATTTTGTGAAGCTCATTTGTTCGGAACCTTCTTTAAATCTGAACAACACTATACTGTTAATGATTCGCATTTAGGATGTAATGGAAGAAGTAATACAGCTTCGAACAGAGCTCGCGCAGTAATTTGAAAATCTGATTTTCATTTGGGACTGAAGATCCGATTATTCTTATGGGCCGTAGCTGGGTTTAGTTTGGGCCGTAATGACTTAGGAGNTCAAATTTAACTCAATCTCACTATCTTCAATATTATCAATATAATTAATTAATATCTACCAATCATTTTTACACATTACATCAACTTTAATTCTTAATTCATCCAGTCACATAATTTTAACTAACTATCACTTTCAATCATTTTTTTCCTACTTTATATCAAATCAACTATAATTATTTTATTTAAATATTATTTTAATATATCCACTAACAACTAATCATACCACTATTTTCAAAATTAAATATAGTTAAAAAATAAACCAAATAAAAACTAGTTAAATCCATAAACAATCACCCCCTTAGGAGGTCATTTGTGTTGGGTAAAAGACAGTTTTTTGAAAGTTTGTATACACAATTTATCTTCAAATCTAATTTTATTGTTATATTTGAGATGTTTTTATTTTAATTACAAATGTGATAAATTTTACATTTTATTTTTTTTATATTGCATTATTTTTTTATTTATAACTAATTTAGGAATGGTATATATGGTTTAATTTTGAAAGTTTTCATAAAATCATATTAAAAATTTCTCCAACTTTAATTTTACTAATAATAGTTATGTACAATGAGAAGTTAATAAACTTAACCAATATAATTAATTATTTATTGAATTCATTCACTAATCCAACGTAAACTAAGAACATCTCCAATGCTCCAACGTTAAAATTAAAATATTCTATCACATGGCTATAAACAATTGGATTATGATTTCATATGAAAGCACTATCCACCTGGACTAAAAAGCAATTGGTGATTAACATCTCCAATGCATACTTTCAAAATCAAATTATAAAATATTTCATGAATAAAACATATCAACACATTAACAAAAGATCATTTGGAAAAAAATATTAAAATTTTAATTACGAGACATGACATGAGACTAATTATTTCACATTTAAAAAAAAAATGAATTTTATCTTCACGAAATAAAATAAATAATAAAGTAGTTTAGTTTTTTAAAATGTTGAAACTGCAATTAACTAATTTTATGCAACTTTCATATATCATTTAGTGTAAAATATAATTACTAATTTTAATATTAACTATTATACGACTCAATAATAAATATTATATGATTCAATAAAAATATAATTATTACTCAATTAACATAAAATATAAGAGTTTAATTAACCCAAAAAAGTGTAAAATATTTTATTATTAATGAGATAGGATGTATTAATGCCACATAAGTAAAATTTATTAGGTTTTATTTAATGATTTGGCACATAGGTAAAATTTATTGTTAAGCTAGCAATTATATATAGAGAAATGCTATAGGTACATAATATTTTACATAGTGGTGTACATAACACTCACATTGAGTGGGACCTACCAAAAATAAAAAGAAAATGCTACAAGTACATAATAAATGTACGTAGAGGTGTACATAACACTCACATGGAGTGGGGTCTACTTGATTTTTTATTTGTGGTAGGACCACTTAATGTGAGTATTATGTACATCTTTATGTACACTATTATGTACTTATAGTATTTCTCAAATAAAAAATCAAGTGGACCCCACTCCATATGAGTGTTATGTACACCTCTATGTACATTTATTATGTACTTGTAGCATTTTCCTTATATATATATATATATATATATATATTACCAATTGAGGCTCAAACCAATCATATAATAACCACGTTAATATAATAGAAACCATATCGGTATGTAAAAGACCTCCGACCGGCTGGAACTGGCCTGATCTCGAGCTTCTTTGCTGTTTGATTTCACATCAGAGGGATTTTTCGGTGAAGAGTCTTCGATGCTTAAGTTAGCACTTGTAGAAGATGAAGTGTAGTATGTAAATATATGTAGAGAGCCTTCACTCCCTTATATAGGGAGATGATACCGTGTTGCCCAAGACTGCCCGAATTGCGGAGCTACCAGATCTGCCCGGAACTGCCCAATTCTGTTAGGTCACGCGTGGCCTTATATACATGCGACAAGGTCGAGGTCGTGTGAGATAGAATGTTGTCTTATGAGACTGTGTCGTCCTTTCTGGTAGATCGCACGACCAATCCGCACATACAAGTCGAGTTTTTAGCAGGCCATACAAGGGCTCTAACTCGACCTCTCGTTGACCTCTTGAAACCATCGTTTCTTTCGACCTGAAGATGTCTTTTTTGATGTTCGACCTCCCAACTGCTCTTCCCGGTATGATATCTCATATCATAAATAATAACCAAATTAATACAATAGAAGTTGGCAATGTTTTTAAACCCCAGCCCGTTATTGGCCTATTGATTATCGGATCGTCGGCTCAATAGTTAGGTCATACGAGGGCTTAATAGTGCGGACCAACCGCACCTACAAGTCAAGTTTTCAGCATGCCATACGAGGGCACTAACTCGACCTGTCGTTGGGCTCTTGAAACCATCGTTTCTTTCGACCTGAAGATGTCTTGTTTGATGTTCTACCTCCCGAATGATCTTCTCGGTATGATATCTCATATTACAAATAATAACCACATTTATATAATAGAAGTTGGGCAATGTTTTTAAACCTCAGCCAGTTATTGGCCTCTAGATCATCGGATCGTCGGCTCAATAGTTAGGTCATCGATTCAATAACTGAATTGAGTATTTAATTATAAACAGTTTAAAAATATATCTTATGAACATATATAAAATAAAAAAAAATAAAAAAAAATCCACCTTAAAATTTTATACATACTCGTAATTTTATGTTTAAAATAAAAATATTTAAGAAAGAAAAAAAGCAAATGTCAAGTCAAATCGGGTTAGCTAGGTTGATTGACCTGATCCATGTGATGGGTCAATCAGGGGCGGATCCAGAAAATTTAGTTAGGGGGGACTAAATAATTTACAAAAATAACATACTTCATTAAAAAGACAAAATTGCAGTTCTATAATAGAAAAAAAAAAATCAGTTCAAGAAAATACATACCGTTCAAACTTTCTGACTATTAGAATTGTGCCCAACGTTCTTTCAAGTCACGAAACCCATCGATGCTTGACTCAGTCGTAATAGATCTTGCAATTTCCCTTTCAACGAAAATAGTCAAAGAATTTACAAGAAAGTCATCTTCCATTTTACTTCGAAGTTTGGATTTAACGATAGCCATAGCCGAAAATGCACGCTCTGTAGTCGCCGTAGACACAGGAAGGGTAAGAATCAACCTTATTAACCTATCAATCAACGGATAAATCAAGGACTTTCTACTTTTCGCCATCCGTTGGCACAAATCAGAGATAGTGCACAAATTTTAAAATTCAGAATGCTTGAGAACATCGATCTCATAATGTCGCAATTGAACTTGCAGTAAGTCTTTTTCATAATCCGTGAAGTCTGTGGGATAAAAATCATTGACAAGAAGGCAAGCGTCATCTATATTAAAAGACAATCGAGAATTGCGGGGATCAAACATAGAGCTAAGAACAAGTAGCTTCACGGCATGCTCAATAAATCTGTTGTTTAGCTCTTGCAGTTGACAATCTATCGTAACCGTAAATATATTAATACGGTAATGATCACCGATTGTAAACAGATTTTGCTTGTTCCGTGATCGTCCTCCTCTTTCAACATATAAATCATTAACATCAGGAATATCTATCGCACGACTTTCACAAAAAGACTTTACCTTGTCAAAGAGTCTGTCGTATCCATCATCCCTCAATTTTTCGATTAGACTCTTTGTAGTGCCAACAAGATTCATAGCATTCAGAATATCTTGAGATTTCCGTTGTAGAGCTTGGCAAAGCGTATCGGTTATTTCCATTATTTCTTTCATAAGATGCAAGATGAAGATGAACTCGAAAGAGGTAAAAGAAATGTAAGCCGAATCTGCATCAGCTCGTTGATCACAATTTCCCTCATCAATGATGCACAACAAAACCGAGCAAGTTGCACTAAACATCTTCAACAAGCTAGAAATCGACTTCAAGTGCGAACCCCACCGCGTATCTCCAGCTCGTTGTAAACTGCCAATTTGATTTTGTCCAGACCCTTTTTCAAGCTCATCAATAGAAATCAAGTAAGCAATATCAGAAGCTTGGGCCGCTTTTAATTCATCGACTCGTTTACAAGAAGAACCCACCACATTTATGATGAAATTTAACTTTGTAAAAAACTGGTGGACGGGGATAACTTCTCTAGATACTCCAACCAACGCCAATTGCAACCGATGAGCTAAACAATGCACATAATATGCATACGGGCATTCTTTAGCAATTAGTGCTTGTAACCCATTGAATTCACCACGCATATTACTTGCCCCATCATATCCCTGACCCCGAATATTTTGATTGTCAAGATTGTGACGAGAAAGGGTAGAAAATATTGCATCTTTAAGAGTTATCGCCTTCATATCAGACACATGTACAAGATCAAAGAAGCGCTCCCGAACAAAATCACAAATATCAACAAACCTTAAGACGATACCCATTTGCTCCCTTTTCGATTGATCTCTCGCCTCATCAACAATAATGCAAAACTTTGCATCCCCAATTTCTTCACGAATCACTTTCTTGATCCTCATAGAGATAACAAGTAAAATGTCCTTTTGGACAGACGGGGATGTATAAGAGGCATTTTGAGGTGCTTTGTCTAAAACGACATTTGCAATATTTTCATTAAGCGTAGACATTGCACTCAAAAATTCAAAAAAATTTCCACGGTTAAGAGACTCTTTACTTTCATCATGACCTCTAAAAGCCAAACCCTGACTTGCAAGATACCGGGCAGAAACAATTGAAGCTTCAAGCCGTAATCTATTTTTTGCAACTTCTTCAGAACATTGTTTTTCAATAAGTCGTCGAACATGTTGTTCTTGATTCATTAGGTCCCCACATGATTTCTCAGCAATTGGTACAATGAATTATGATCTTTTTCAATGTGATTTAGAAATGCACAGTCTTTTCCATTCCGTACGTTTTTCCAATTTTTGAACCCATCAACAATAAAAGTATTTTGACTGTGATGCTTACCTGGTTTGTTGAACAAATAACAAGGTAAACAAAACGCAGCATCACTCGTTGGGGAATATTCTAATCAAGACGGAAATATCTTGAACCACGACGCTTGAAAACGACGAGAATACTTCCCAGACCCGCCGCTCGAAGGATATTCTCCTTTGTATTGATAAGGGCTGTAGCTAATATAAGCTCGTCGAACTTCATCAATTTTATCAACGGGATAACTTGTTATTGGCATACGTAACCCTGGGTCACATTCAAGATTGTTGATATCAAACACCACTTGTTCATTTCTGGGTGATTTTTCAATGTGCTTGACAACTTTCTCAACGGTTGGTGGTCCTCCATTATCTTCCTCAATCTCCTCATGTTTTGTCTTGAAAAATAAGTCTATTCTTGATGACTTTTTCATATCCTAAAAAAAATTATTAAATTAATTTTTATAAAATAGTATAAGCCTATATATGATTCATGAATTAAAATATAGTATAAGCCTATATATGATACATTTGTTCTTGAGTGATGATTTTAAACCGTAAATCCCTAAAAATGGTAAATAAATTAAATTATAAACATGAGCATAAATTAAAATACTCACCAATATAAAGGAATGATCAAAACACTGAGAAGAATCAAGAAATTGAATGGATGCTCTTTCTTGCTGCGAATTTGCACTACCTTCTTTTTACTCCTCCGCGGCTATGCGTAATGCGTCTGTATCTGTTTTGGACTTTGGTTGTTGATATTCAATTAGAATAGTTTATTATTGGGAAATTTTCATGTATACTTACTGATTTTTAGATAATTGTAATATTACCATTCATACCAATTAAATTGTGTATATACCTAAAAGATAAATATTAATTATAATCATGTCTAAAATCAGTTACAAGGTAAGTGGAACAACCTTCCATGTTCCTAGCACGTAATTTCAGGAAATCGGGCAAAGAGTACGAAATTTCACGAAATCTTCATCGCCTATATATATTGCTTTAACATATACTGCAAATATACTGTACATATACCCGTCGAACGTCTTCCTGTTAATGTCATGAGAAAATATACCGAGAATATACCGAAAATATACTGAATATAAACCATAAATATAACAGGTGGAAACGATACAAACACGATACAATATGAGGGGATGAAAATATACCGAAAATATACTTAATATAAACATACAAAACTGCAAAGGACTATAACAGAATCACTTTCATGTTCACAAACATATCAAAAGGACAACCATTTTCATCTTCTCTTCGCTCAAGAACCAGAGAACTGATTTGTGCAACAACAAAAAAAGAAAAAATATCCTACTAATTAGCTCAAACAACATCTCAAACTATAGGCTCCACTATCAGGTTTCAAGGTAATCTGGCAGAAAAAATTATAACTCAACGCTCCTCATTCTTCAGAGTATCACAATTTGTAAATTAATCCCCTTTCACTAGATGAAGACATGTCTAAGAAAAAAGATTTAAGAAAAAAAAAACTAAAAAAAAAACAATAGCCATTTTTAGTTTGTTGCCTCGAGAGCTTCAGCCTCCCCATCACGGTAATCACCCGAAAACCGTAGCACCTTGCTGGGACCGAGGGCCACCCACGAGACAGGAGCAGGGGAAAGCGCTGCAAACTAAGCCCCGACCACCACGAGGGCGGCGATCTGAGCCCGCCGTCAGGCCCGGCCTTCACTCCGTCCGAAATCCCAGCGACCGCCATGGCGACATAGATTTTGGGAGAAGCGCCCCGGCATGGATCATCAGGCCTGATAGAATTAACGGCGCAGCCATAGTGACAGTCGGCGCCAAGGAAACAGAGCTTCGCCGGTGGAGTACCGCAGCCGCGGTCAAAGAGAAGAGGTGGTTTGGGAGGGATCGTGCTTTTGTGAAAAATCTTATTTGTTTAGGATTAACTTGTAGCTGATTTGTTGCAAAAATTAAGAAGAAAAGATCTTAATTAAAAACATTCCATGTTTGATATGTTGACTTCGGAAAATTAAACATCAGGTATATGTGTAATTATTTTGTATTGAAGTTGCATTTAAATATAAAAAAACTAATGGGTGTTAAATATGCAATATAATTATTATATGAAAGTGCAGGGTGTAAATTCCTCTTTATTATTTTATTGGTAATAAAAAACTAATATAACATAATACAATAGATGAGAGGTAAATGGGCTATTGGACTTCATGGCTTATATTTTAAATACATGAGGGCCTTTATTTTAGTCCACATATATTAATTGGTTATGGGCTTAGGGGGGACAATTAACAATTAAATAGACCTAGTTTATTCTATTACATATATACTTAGTAAGAAATTTTTTTTGGGGGGGGGACCGTGGCCTCCCCTATGATACACGTCCATCCGCCCCTGGGGTCAATAGAGTTTTGTCAAGTTTAATTGTTGATCTGTCCCTCAAAAAATAAAATAAAAACAATCGGATCAATCAATACCCGAATCAAACAAAACACAGACGCAAGCTGTAAAAAGCACGGGAATCATTACATATATAGAAACATTCAAATCATATTAAAAAAATGATATTTCTCAACTTTGTATGCTCAATAACATTACTATTGTATACTATTCCGAAATTATATACAATATGCATGTAATGAAACTAACCACCATTTTTTGCCTTTCAGCAATTGTATGTATGTCTATGGCTGGTATCGGTTCGGTAATCGAACCGATAAGCCCAAACCGATACCGAACCGACATTTTCGGTAACAATAAAATGTGAAACCGAAACCGAACCGAGTTTTCGGTAACCGAAAAACTGAACCGAGTCGGTTTCGGTTTTGTACCGAAAAAACTGAAATATCAGCCCCAAGTAAGTACATACACTTGATGCCCTATTTATTGTCGTCCCTGTTCCCTGTATGTTCAGAGAAAGCAAATAAGCAAGCCCATGTCTAGCAAGTTGCACTTCAGTGAAGATATTTGAGTATTGAGTGGGGAATTTTGATTTTAAACTTACTTTCACTTATTTTTCTTTTGCAAAATTGTGTCCTAACTATTATTTAAAAACTGAGCCCCAATTATTATTTGAAAAGCGCCCTAAATTTTAAATAAATATAAAAACTGATCCTTTCTATAGTTATATACTTATATTAATGTTTTTTTTTTTTTTCTTTTTTATC